TAGATCGGATTGGCTACATGGTTCGAATTATCTAGCCCGTGCCGCGTGTAGCCGCGCGGCACGGGGTTCGAACTAGCCGGCTTTTAAAAATGGCGGCGCCGGCTTTATGCTAATGAAGCCCGGGAAATTCAAATCCCGGGCTTCATTAGCAAGTTCGGTATGCATACATTACCCCCCTAGTTCGAACTAGGGGGGTAGTGTAGACATACCCTTAGAGGTGATAATTGGAGAAGCTATCTTTGTAATGGATAAGGTAATTAGATTCCTTATTCAGACCCAAGTGTAAAGTGTTGAATTTAAGCATGAATAACAGTTTAGAGGATTCTCTTTCAAGTGCAGTCTTAAAAGGCTTTTGAAGCAGGATGCAGGTAATTAAGTCGTTGAGACAATGTCCTTTCTGGTTGAAATGGCAAGAAACTGTTTTTTCTTTGTGATCCTGTCTGATATCTGTTTTGTGGGCATTGATCCTTTGGCGAAGTGTCTGAGACGTTTGTCCAATGTACATAGCAGATGGACACTTTTGGCACATGATAGCATAAATTATATTTCTGGATGCGCAGGAATATGTGTTCTTGATCTTATAACTCACTTGGTTAGGTCCAATAATGGTATCAGCAGAGTGAATATGTGGACAAAGCTGGCAATGGGGTTTGTTGCAAAGGAAGGTACCAGGATTGGTATTAGTGTGGTATGTCCTGTGGTTGTTGGTAAGAATCATCTTGAGGTTTGGTGGTTGTCTATAGGAGACTATGGGTCTGTCTCCCAGAGCCTCTTGGAGTTTAGTATCCTGTTCCAGTATAGGCTGTAGTTTATTGATAATGTGTTGGACAGGTTTAAGTTTTTCTTCCACTATTTGATCTGAGGAAGTGGGTCTGGCCCACGAAAGCTCATCATCTAATAAGCCATCTTGTTAGTCTTTAAAGTGCTACATAGTTTGTTAAGGCTTATGATGTGAGACTTAAAGAGTTTGACTGATTCAGTTTACCAGAGAGACTGCTGAGAAGTGATTTGATCTCTTTGTACATACAGAAAAAAAGATAACAGGGTACTTTTCAAATTTATTATGAAAAACAATCTCCAATGGCTAGAATATAATGCTAGGTAAATTCAGGCTTGAAATAAGATGCCGTTTTCTTGCTGTGAGGATAGTTAAACACTAAAACAGTTTAATGGGGAGGTGTTGACAGCCGCTCCATCACCTTGACTCTTTAGGAAGAGATTAGCTATATTTTTAAAAAACTTGCTTTAATCCAGCATCACGGAGTCATTGTAGAGGCAGTCAGGCTGGATGGCTGTGGTCTTGGAGTTTCTGAATTGATGTTTTAATCCTTTCCTTCATGGGCTATGAGAGGAACACGAAGCTCTACATGGCTATCAGCAGGCTCATAACCTTTGCAGCTCTACTTGATTTTTTTCGCCAAGGCATATTTGACCAGAGACACGCTGTGTTTCTCCTTACACATCTTCCTCTGATGCGTACTAGATTGGCCACAGCTAGAGATGA